TGTATCAGAATTAAATGACAAAATACATCTACTTTACATAAATAGAATATATGCATTAAATCATAGTGAAATATATTTATGAATATTACCATTTTATCAAGGGCCAACAGCTAAATACCAGGGGTGAGCACATATTTTTTAAGATGACGTTGTCCTAAATAAAAAGGCACAGTTCTTGAACTCAGTTAATAGCATAAATCAGAACTTGTTTGCCTAAGTGAGAAAGGAAAGCTCAGCTAAGTTCATTGATTTTTTTTTATCTCCTTTAGCATCCTCGGGGGCTGGTACTTTGCCTTAATGTCCTCTGGAATGTGTAGAATCATTTCTGTGTATAAAGTGCACTCTACCAGATGGCATTAGATGGCTATAGTCCTCCATAACAGGAACAAAATATTAGTTTCTAGAAGATTTGTTTCTTTTTCAAATTTTTTTGTCTGTAAGAGAATTGTTTACTTTGAATAGTTATTTCACACCTCTATCAAATTGACAATTCAATATCAAATGAGTTTAGTCATCTGGTTGAGTTGTCTAGAAAGAGTTGTTTTCAAAGGTGTTGTTCATCCTTCAAGTAAATAATTAAAGAAATGCTTAGTTTTATCAGAACCATTAAGTTAAACACATATTAACAAACCACCAGCTATAGACTGTTACTTGCTAGCCATCCAAAGTAAGCATCAGTTATTTAACTGAGATTAGTAACCAAGTAAACCTGAATATGTGTCTTCTATGTGCCAAGCCAACAATCTCTTTCCTCTCATCACAGGACTCACTGGACAGATTGTTCTTCTTGGCCTTTTCAGTTGCTAGAATGCATCTCCACAGGACTGACTTTCATCTGTGTCCCTGTATTCAGTCAAGTACTGAAGTTTCACGTAATTAGCATTGCTGTCCTGATTACTCATTTATCAAGGGAAAATTTACCCTCTCTCCTCTAGATGTTCTTCTTGAATTAGTTCATACTTTAAATCCTACATTTTTAGTTAACTATTTTGTTTGTTCCACACTAACATGTAGGTTACAAAGTTAGGGTTTTATCTGTCTGTTCACTGCTAAGGACCCAGTATTTAACATAGGGAAGATGCTCAATAAATGTCAATTAATAAGTGAATATGGCACCTATGTTTATTATTTTCCTTATTTGGTCCTTAAGTATCTTGCCTCAGAATAAATGGATGACCCAGCAGGCTGGCTCTACAGCCTCCCAGTAAATTCCCCAAGAGCCCAAGGAAGACAGATGTGGTGGCACTTTTTAGACCTTGATGAACAGGTTTATTTTTTACTTGCTTTTTGAAAAATAAAAGATATAGGAAATGCTTTAACCTTAAAGAACAGAGTTTCTATTTATTAAGTAGAGCACTCCGGTTGAAATGAGGACAGAAATAGTAGCATAATTTAACTCTTCTGCACTTTCTATTTACCAACTAAATTCCTCTGAGGCTTAAATGAGATTGAAATTTCCTAACATAAACACTGACTTACATGAATAAAGTCACAATATTCACAAAGAATTCATCCACAAAATTCACAGATTGTGGTTGTTCTGAAACATTAAATGATTCAGAGGACAGCGACGTGGCTCAGCAGGGAGATTCCTGTCACTGAGCCCGATGACCTAAATTTGGTCCCTAGGACCCATATAGAAGAAGGAAAGACTCTTTTCATGGCGTATGCTACCCCCACAATAAATAAATGCAAATAAAAGATTAAGTACTGCAGGCTGAAGATGCAGCTCAGAGCTAGAGCTTTTAGTAGGCAGAGGGTCCTGAAATCATCCCTAGCACTGCAAATACACAAAGATTGAATGTTAGCCTTGACTTAATAGTTTGTTCATACGGATGCCTCTTGTTTTTTTAAAAAATTATTATTATTATTTATGTGTATGTATGAGTATACTGCCTGCATGTATGTAAGTGTACCCATGTAACACAATGCCTGCAGAGGTAAGAAGAGAGCATTGGATCCCCTGGAACAGGAGTTATGAATGGTTGTTAGCTGCTGTGTGGGTGCTGGGAATTGAACCCAGGTTCTCTGCAAGAGCAGTCAGTGCTCTTAACTACTGATCCATCTTTCCAGCCAGATCTCTTGTTTCTTAACATATTAAAAAAAAAAAAAAAGAGCAGCTACAAACCAAAGAACAAATGGAAAGAACTTACTGATAATCATAAGTGAACGACAGAGCAAGTAAATATGATCAACAGGGATATTTGTTGTAAGCGTTTTAGTGGTAAAATATACTCTCTAAGCTCTGTTTTTAATCTTTTTTTTCTACAAACAGAAATAAGAGGAAACTATCAACTCACTGAATCATTTTTAAAATTTGTTTCATATTTTATAAGATCTTATTGTAATTAACTATAGAATTTTAAATTGTTGGTCTAGACTTAAATGAAGTGTTTCATGAATTTTACTCTGGTTCATAATTTCCGTGTATTTGGATATTTGTATTCTACTTGGTGTGTGCACATGTACATATACATATGTCATAACATTTACCTGAAATAAATAATATTTTGTCCTGGAAATAATCACTTTGTTCACTTACTTGAAAATATATTATTATGAGACTTGTTACTAAGAGTGTTTTTGACACCATTTATGAGGTAAGAACTTTGTAGGGAAGGAACTGGGCACAGTCATCCAGACATAGCAAACATTTGAAAAGAGCCAGTAGAATTTGCTGATGTGTTGGACTGGGGGTGAGGCTGAGTCAGGAAGGTGAAAATGTGTAGTGCCATACATGGCACTGAGGGGTCAGGAAAATGGGGATGGGGTGAGGGAAGGAGGAAGCGTGGATGGGAGGTGGTGGTTGACGCACTAGTCCTTTCTAAGAAGTGAAGCAGTGAAAGCATCTGGTTCTTTTTTATTAGCATTTCCTTTAATGTGGCAAGGAGTGTGGGTGCCTGCATGTGACAGCACATGTATGGCAGTCAGAAGGTGTGTGGGTACCTGTATGCGAGAGCACACGTATGGTGGTCAGGGGACAATGTGCAGGAATCAGTTCACTCCTTGAAGACAGGTTGACAGGTTTGGTACAAGAGACTTGAACCCCTGAGTCATCTTGTTCGCTCAGCAAGAGGCTCTTTTTTCTTTCTCTATTTTGACCTCTTCCCCCTTTTAAAATGTTGGTTAACTACAAGAGGGGATTTGAAGATTTAATTTATCAAACTGAGGCTGTGTTTTATGCACAAAGGGATATTAGTACCTAAATCTGCAAATTTGAGGGAAGGGTAGTAGAGAGGCTAAATGAGAGCCCATGGCATCACTCGATAGGCATTAACATGGACTGCATGGAAATGCATGGAATCCAGTGGGAGGGGGGCCTGGGGGTGAATATATGGAGAGCATCTAAATATGATCAAGAGCTATTGTATAAAATGCACAAAATTCACTAAAAATTTTTAAACGATGCTATTTAGAGCTGTACTGTTGGATGAAGTGACAAATTATTGCAGTCCAAGGTCAAGCCATCAGAAAAATATAAAAGAAAGTGTTATAAAATGAAGAGAGACATGCATGATGAGAATATATGGCCCTAGCCTCAGGTAAACTCAGGAGAATATGAACCATGGGAAGGAGGGGGTCACATGTGAAGCAGACTAGACAGAAACTGGCAGTCAGGTAATAGGAGATGTTTATTACTATCAGAAGTGTTGGCATTCAGCTGCCCTTTGACTCTGGACTAGGCATTATCCTAGAGGAGCATCTGACCTTGACAGGACTGTGGCAGCTTAGAGCTGTTATGCATAGTCAGGGTGTGTGACCTGTCAGAGAAGCTCTGACAAGAACAGCCTCCCCACCCACTGGGACTCAGATTGCACACTGGACACTGATTGGCTGGTGGTGTTATTACTCCTCCACTAAAGAGAATCTAGTGACTGCTCATTCCCCATGCCCTCCGACACCAAGGCAGTGAGTGCCTGCCAAGGGAGTCCTGGGTCTGGGTAGTAACAGAGAGATAGAAGTCATCTTACCCAGGGAGTCCTGTGTCTGGGTAGTACCATGAGATTGAGTTCTTATCAACCTATGGATAGTTTTGTCTCTCTAGGGTCATGCCAAAAAAGTTCCTCTGACATCTCTCACACAGCTTCCCTCACACAACATCCAGAGACTCTGCATCCATGACATCAGTCATATAGAGGCCAGAGCATGTCTCTATCCATCACTTCATTAGGGGATTTGATGGCTTTTTGATAAAAGGAACTATTAAACGTTTTAAGAATCAAAAACAGACCTCATCCCACAACATATGTTTGTGTTTCTGTTTTGGAGAAGGAATGACAGACCTCAACATGAGAAGCATCAGGTTTTATTTTCTTTGACTTACGGTCAGGAAAAATAAAAATACCCTCAATATCAAAATAGTTTTAAGTTTAGGATTACCCAAATAAGAGCCTTGGCATATCCTTTCTGAAGTTAAACCTTTCAGTCTGGATTAACGTTTTTGTAATAGTTCTCATTTCTATGAATGAAAAATTTGTGATACAATCACTTCCTTGATAAATGCATGGGTACTTTGAATTCAAGCTCTCTGGCTCCAAATTCAAGATTCTTAATCAGACAGTTTGCCAGCCAGGCATAGTGGTGCATGCCTTTAATTCCAGCACTCAGGAGGTGGAGGCAGGCAGATCTCTGTGAGGTTGAGGCCAGTCTGCTCTACATAGCAAGTTTGAGTTCTAGGCCAACTGGAGCTACAGAAAGAAAAATTCTTAAATAATATATTGACAAATTGTTAATTTGTTTTGTATAAATTGTAAAGATGCATTTTAAATGAAACTGTTAAGTTCATTAAATTATGTAAACTTTAAGAAAACTATTCCTATAGGAAAACATTATTCCTGTTTCATACAATCCTGTACAATTTCAGAAATACTAGAATTCAGTATGAAGTTCTTTATTCAGTATCTTGACATTAAGCTACACTTTAATCCTAATTCTTTAACACTTTTAGTTTCAAACTTCCATAAATTAGTTGTTAATTGATTTATGTTTTCTCTCTGAAGGCAATTGACCGAGAGGGAGACCCAATAACATACGCCATTGTGAATGGAGACCCTCAGCGAGTTTTCAATCTTTCAGAAACGTAAGTTACAAAGAAAATGATTTATACCTGATTTCGCCCTTTTAATGTCAAGCAACATTCTATTATCAAGAGAACTGACTGCTAATCAGAGACTCTCAGTTATTTGTAGTTTTATTTTACATTTTTCCCATGAATGCTAATGAGCACTAGGGGGTAATTCTAAACTCAAAACCTTTCCCAGGAGACTGTTTATTTATTGTAAACATTTTTTTAACAAATAAAATCCACTGAGGTGGAAACATTTCACTTGCAGGCAAAGCTTGGGTCTAATTAGACACCTGTACAGTTTTTAGCTACTCACAATGACAAGGACATTTCCACAAACAGAAAGTAGTATCAGCACTGACTTGTTCATTCAAAGTGAGACTTGGTAGCAAGGTCCCCCATCTGCACCCCCATAGCCCCCCAACCAGATCTCATGCATTCTGTCACATATGTTAAGGCCTAGGCCTATAAGTCAGTCAGTGTGAGCCTGGCCAACCTGACTGGCATTACTCCCTTAAAGAAGACCAACATGCCCTCACCTAGGAGTGTCCAACTGCTAATAGTTCATTGTCTACAGTTCGGCTTTTTGACCATTTCCCCAGTTCTATGCTGGGTTTTTGTCTGGTTTGAGTTTGCATGGTCTTGTGTGTGCTGTCACCACTGGTCTATGTTCATATGAGCAAGTTCCTAGCAGCCTGGAAAACTCTGCTTGCTGTCATCTAGCTCCCCTGCCTCTTACAGGTTTTCTGCTCCCTCTTCCATAATGGTCCCTGAGCCCTGGGTGGGTGAGGTTTAATACAGGAGTCCTGTCCAGGGACTTGTGGCCAGTTGTGTCTTTCTGTGTTCATCACCCTCTGTTGTGTGAAGATCTGCTGGTGAGAGTTAAGGGATGCATTAATATTCTTTGCACCCCATGTTCCACTATGTTATGTGAGCCTTAGTTGTTCCATTGTAGATGAATCACTTAGGACTAGATACTTCACAGACACTTATTTCATGCATTTGACTGGTTTTGGAAGTCTATAATAGCCTCCATCTGTTGCAAAAAGAAGCTTCTTTGCTGGGTGGCGACAGGTATACTTGTCTGGAAGTATAAGGACCCATATTTAGCATACATAAGAAATTATGTTTGTCTAGAGAGGTGACAGACATAGGTTTTCTCTAGGATCTATGTCCTCTCCAGCCATGTGTATTTGACAGTATTTACCGTACCACACATGAGTTTCCACCCATTGAGAGAGTGTTAAGTCCAATTAGGTAGCTATTGATTACCTCCAAGATAAAAGTGCCACTATTGCACCAATAGAGAGAGTTTGCTGTGCTGGTCCTTGCTGTGGTTGTTGCCAGCGGTATTTTTGGCTTACTTCTCTCAACACATTGTAATCACAGCTATTGAAAAGACTGGGAGATGGCATCAAAGAAGGTGATCAGAGCAGGCATTGAGGCCAGCCTGGTCTGCATAGCGAGTTCCAGGCCAGCTGGGGTGACAGGGAGACCCTTTCTCAAAAAGACAAAAATAAATAGTATTTTAAAAATTAAAAAAGATGGTGATCAATTTCTAGGTGTCACCTGCTTCTGCTCTGTACTGTCAAGGTGATCAGATGTGAGTGCTTGCTAAAGAACTGGCTTTATGCCTTTCTGATGTATGTGTAGAGTTATAGTACCTTATTCACTGAAGGAAGGGAGAGATAATTTAGACATGATTATAATGATATGGCCAAAGTCTCAGTCTGCAGAACATGTGGTCTTAATGCTAAATCAAGAGGACAGTGTGTGGGTCACTTTAATGATGAGCACTTATAATTTCACATGAAATAAGAATGAGTCATTGAGACATGACTTCTTATGTCTAGGAAGTGCCCAGAACAGACAGATCTATGTAGAAAAAATGGAGAGTAGTTGTAATTTGTGAACAAGAATTGGTAGAGGATAAGGAGCGGGTGGGAATTGTGTTGCATGTGCACATTGTGTCTAACATCTGACTGCTTTCACAAGAATATGTTTAGCAGACATATTGGTTCCTTTTTTCCCACATAATATGCCACTGTATGCATGAAGAATAATGTGTTTATTTATTTATTAATGGAAATCTGGGGGTGTTTTTACACCTTTTGGTTATTACAAATGCTACTGTAATGAACATACAGACATGCATAAATATGTATTTTCCAGTTTGTTTGTTTTGAGTATATAATCAGAAGTAGATTTGCTAGGGCATTTTGTAATTCTGTATCTTATTTTTTGAGAAATGACTAAATGTTTTCACCAGTGACCAAATCATTTTATATTCTCACCAGCAATACATGAGGACTCCAGTATCCCATTTCGCACACATTTATCTTCAAGTGTTATTGGTACTACAGTTTTACTTATTTAATTATAGCTATGAATAAGTATGAAGTGTTCAGTGTGGCTTTGATCTGCATTTAAGTCAATGATGACACTGAGTATCTCTCTATGAGCCCTTTCCTCCCTGCTTACTTTCTTTCAAAAAGTGTCCACTCAGAACTTTTACTACTTTTTAATTGAGTTGCCTCTTGGCTAATTGTAAGAGTATCTTGTAGTACAGAAGCCAGAGGCTTATTGGATATAGGATTTGAAAAACAGTTTCTTCTGTTTTATCAGATTTTCACTTTCCTGATATATAAAATTTATGTCATTTTGAGTCTAATTTAAGTAATAGTTTAAAGTACTTTTACTTTGGATTTTTGTGTATCTATCAAGCCATTGTTGAATCCACGTCATAAATACTGACCTCAATATGTTTATGTCAGGTTCTTTTAGTTTCATTTCTCACATTCAGATTATTGACCCATTTTATGTTATTATTTCACAGAGTGTGAGGTAGTACTTTAATTCTTTTGCAAATAGATTTACAGTTATGATACTCTAAGTTGTTTAAAAGTCTTGTTTTCCTATTGAGTGGTTTTGGTGTCCTTGTGGAAACTTTACCAGGATTTATTCTGGATTCTTAATTTTTTCACATTGGTTTATATTCCAACACACTTTCGGATGCCAAAACTGTATACCATGTTTTCACAACAGGATCTTGATGTGCTTCAGCCTTAAACTTTTACGTAAGCTGTTGGGTTCTTTCTTGCCTTACAGTGATTTTAAAGAATGCCCAGTACTTTTCTTCCTTGTGTGAGATTCAAGTTTAATCAAAGACAAGTGCTGAGTATTATTTCTTCAGACAACTAGCAATAGTGTAGGTAAGACAGCTACAACTCTGTGGAAAGAGCTAGGTGTGTCCCTCCACAACAGTGTCCAGGTTGTCTCTGTTCACCCTCACTGCTGTTTTCAAGACCAGCACAAGTCAAAACAAGTGGAAACACTGTAATGCTCTCCTATGATGCTTATGTTGTCTTTTACTTTTTTGTCTTTCACTTTACTTTTTTTCCTTTGTTTCTATAAATATCTGGTGGGTCTTACTCTACCTCCTTGATATTATGTTGTTCCATGGAGAGGGTCTTTCTTGCAGAGTTCCATCAGACTTGGGTCTGACTCTACTTCCTTGATCTCTGATGTTCTATGGAATTGCCTTATTCACCACTTCTACTTCTGAGCCATTTTTCCAGTCCTGTAAAACCCAAGTAGCACTGTTACTGAGAGCTCATTAGAAGCCATGGACTATGAATCCATGAAAGGTTTATTGCACCTGTGATGCTGTCCACAGTATCCTGGCCTGATGGGAATGTTCTTTCTGGCCAGTTTTACTAGGATTCCATCAAAGAATTTTCACTTTTCCCATTCTATTAGAAGGCACTATCTACTTCTTACATTTTACCTCACTTCCCAATATTCTGTTCATCTACTCAACTGCCTGCAATATTGAGTCAGAATGCATATAGCATTTTAAGCAAGGAAATGTCTCCATCATAATCACAGGAATAGGAAACCATGGTCCAGAACAGGAATGGTATATGAAGTTCCAGTCACCGTCTATGTTTGGGCCCTAGGGGAGTTATCGAAGAGGAACATGGGAATAGAAGGAGCCTAGGCGGACCAAGGCAAGACTGTGGTTCAGTTTTCAGGCTTCCTAATTTCTTACGTTATAAGTTATGAGTCATTCTCAGAACCCAAAATTTGCCTTGCTTTTCTCTTTGAATATCATCACAGAACAAGATTATCCAAAGCATCTGTGATATAGAAAGTTGATCCAAGCCTGATTATTGTGAACACACCCTGGAACAAGTTTTCAGTTATTTTGGCAAACAGAATAAAATGGACAACAAGCAAAGACAGTTTCAAAGCTGAGCCTTATGCTCTGAGCTCTTCCAAAGTTCGCATCATCAACAACAAAGAAATGACAGATATACAGTGTTCTTGACTCATTTGTTTCCCTTGACTCTGTTCTAACTGCCCCAAGTGGTGGGAAGCATAGAAATTCCATTCTCAGAATAAAAGGCGCAATAAAACGAAATCTACTTATCCATCAAAAGCAAATTAAGTTTCTACACTTGATAAGTGTTTCAGTGGTTTATTACAGTAAGGTAAACTTTTCCATTGTGAGTACTTACTACAGCTAAATGAAAATGTCAACTGCTCTATCTAAGTGTAAAACCCAAGAAATTCATGCTGAACTTGTTTTAGAGAGCAAAGTATTTGACTAAATTGTTTTAAACATGATATTAGAGAATAAAATACATATAAGGGAAGATTTATTCTAGAAAATAAGGGGCAAAATTAATTCTAAATATGAAAATGTATCCAAATGTTGTTCCTGTCCTATTTTATATAAATTAAGAATCACTCTAAACTTCAGAGAAGTAACAAAATGATAAATTGCTTGTGTGAATTTGTATAATAGTAAATGACAGAATGAAGGCTAATTGTAACATAGTATAAAGAATATAAAATATGTAGCCTGATTAATTTTTGAAAACAATTATATATTTAAATATGCTTATAAAAATTAAAATTAAAATAAAAAATTGAGCATGTCTGCAGATTTAATATGTCCAGTATGTTTTCTAATTGCATATAAATTCTGTACTTTGAAGTTATAAAGGAAAATAAACTTCATCACAGAATTTATCAAAGTTAGAGCTTATTTCGTATTCTAGAATGAACATGCTGCAGTGATTGGAAAATAACCAGTACTATTTTTAAGGGACCAGTCCCTGCCTCTGAGAATTCTGATGTTGCTAGGGAGCAGTTGAGTCTTTATTTTGAAATGATTCCACCTAAGACATCTTTCTTCCTGAAATGAATTAAGCATAGTTTTGTTTATTAAAAAAATTTCCACTAGAAAGTAGTGTATCATCTCTGGTATAACATTTCCTTTTGGAATTTGCCTTTATTGCTGAGAATCTCTATGCCCTTAAAGAGACATTCCCCATTCTCAGCACAAATCCCGTGTCTTGCGTAAATATTCAGGCTGTGATTACTGAGAGGGAAACCATCAGCAGTAACTGTCCAAACAGCTTTCACATCATATACACCATATATATGGAGTCCATATGTAAGCAAAAATATGCAGTATTTTCATTGTGGGGAGGAAGGGTGAGGAACTAGAGAGAGAGAAAAGAGAGAAAGAGAGTTTGAGCTCCAGGTGGAGTCATCCCCAAAGCCAGTTCACTGGGCATACTACATCTGTGTCTTTTTGTTTCTTTCTCTGCCATTAGTACTGGAATTCTAACCCTAGGGAAAGCACTGGACAGGGAGAGCACAGACCGCTACATCCTCATCGTCACAGCCTCGGATGGCAGGCCAGATGGGGTAAGTTTGCTCACTGGGAAAGGGTTTTCAAAGTAGTATTATGGAATCCTGGGGTCCTGCAGCCCTACATTCTAAAAAATATGTTACAACTGTGAATTAATCTTTCTTACCCAGAGAGCAGGGCTCCCTTGTCCAAAGTGCTCTTAACAGTTGCTCTGAAGCCGTTGCAGTGTCTCAGAATTTGATCTGAGGAACAGACTTTCATGATGCTCACTCTTACCCAACTTGGGGAAGCTGAACTCTGATTTTATGTAACAAGCAATCCACTGTCAGTCACTAGAGCGGCACCACACAATGTGTTCTGATGTCCTTACTCTGTTGGCATGTCCTCCACCAAGCTTTACTCTAACAGAGGCAGGACCGGGGTGGGTTTTGTAGCTAACTGCATTTAAATGTTTAGGAACTTGTGTCATTTGTGGCTATGGGTATGTATCACTATGATCCCAAGAAACCCTTGATTTCACTGATTTAAATTAGCTGATAATTCTAGAGACAGTAGTTCTATTATCTCTGGGCCTAATAATCAGTTTTAAGAATTAGTACATTAGTTCCATCTTTCTGGGACTTGTTTGCTTTGTGGTTTTGTTTTTGAGGTGCTAGTGATTGAAGCCAGAACCCTACTGGAGACTCTCTACCATAGACAGCACCCACAGCTCTCTGGAGTTTTTAGAAACCCTTTGCCTAAATTCATTCAGTAACTTTGTTCACAACTGCCACGTCCTGATTTCAAAGCATTGTAACATTTCAGGGATTGGTAGTGATTTTATTTTCTTTGTGCTTCCATTTTTCATTTTGTGTACGTGTAAAAGTGTATGTGTGTGCATGTTAATGTACATGCAAGTGCACATAGATGGGGAGGCCAGAAGTCAACCTCAGGCCTTTCTTGAGAAGTCCTCCACTTTGCCTTCTGAGACGGGCTCTCTCACTGGGACATGGGGCTCAGAGATTAGACTAGGATGGCCAGTGAGCTGCATTAGTCTCTGCATTGTCAGCCTGGGACAACTAGCACATGCCACCCATGCCTGGCTTTTTACATGGGATCTGGGGTCAAGGTCAAGTCCTCGTTGCAAAGCAGGAACTTCACAGACTGAGCCATCTCCCCAGCCCTCATGCTTCATTTCCTCCGGCAAGTGCTAACCTGTCCACTCAGCACTGCTGTCTGGAAACAACTTCATACCCACATGGAGGAACGGGGAAGGCCACCCAATTCTACTAGTAATATAGGCCAGTTTGCTGGACATGAGCACGTTGGTCTCTATGAGAACTTGTCTAGGTATAGGAGAATATGTTCCTAACATTTCCCTCAGTACGACTGCTGAAAAAGTATACCTTGATGAAAATATATTATATTGGTATATCAAAACTTTGATAGTTTTCATTGAGATGACAACAATAAATAAGGATAATTGGTCATTATAATCTTCCCATGATGAAGTATTTGACATTTGTCAGAAATAGAATAAAGTATAATGCAGAAAATAAAATACACAGAAAAACTGAAGGAATTCTGAGCCAAATGAATTAAAGGAATCCAAAGGCTGATTTCATACACATTATGTCCAATGTCTAGTATGCCTGGGTTATAGGATGTACAGATATCAGAGTCTCAATAAGGAAATGAGAACTTGACTGAAGATTGAAGATTTCTGGGTCACCTGACCAGCCAATAACTGAAGAAGAGGGAATATTATTTAGCATAGGGTAAGAGTTTAAGTATAGTATAGTAAGGGGTATTCCAGCCAACCCTGGGTATGGGAAAATGAAGGACTCACATAACTTTGGGATAAGTCAAAATATCAATAAAAAATTAACAGCAATGATGCCACCTAGGAAAATTGAAGCCAGCCTTAAAAATAAAATTGCTTGGTCAGTAGACCAGGATCCAGGTTATGGACTCATATCCAAGAGAATTTCAGAAAGAGAGATTAAATTTGATAGGCCATTAAAAAAAACTGGAGGGCATGAGGTGAGGGGTATGGGGGGGTAGGGCTGAGAGGTAGTGGGGGAGGGGTTCTGAGGGAGAAGGTCTGAATAGGATCAAAATACATTGTATGAGTCTCAAAAGATCAATTAAAAATCATTTAATAAATAAATAAAAGTTCTTAGATAAGGGAAGATGTCTGACCATGTTCAGATGTCTTCCCTTCAAAGTATGGTGATGTTCATTCACATAAGCCTTGTGTTCAAAGAATGTGTTGTTCATTCATTGTATATTCAGGTCTCCTTGGTCAGGTGACTTAGCAGTTCCAGCCTTTCTTTCACTCTTGTCATCAAGATTTCATTAAGCTTTAAATTTTTGCTTTTTGAGGATAAATTCTATATAATTTTCTAAAGGCTATATTGAAAATATTGAAATGTTAAAATTTCAACTAAGCATATTTTCTTTAATTTAATTACTTACATAATTTAAGATATATATTTTCAAAGTTTTTATTTTTAATTATGTGCATGCATGTGTGTCATTATGTAGATATGTGCACACAGGTGCAGGTGTTTATGGAGGCCAGAGAAGGGCCAGAGGATACCCTAAAACTGGTGTTACTGCAGTTGTGAGCCACTGTGCATGGGTGCCAAACTGAACTTGCGTCCTCTGTAAGAACAGTATAATCTCTTAACCACTGAGTCACCTCACCAGACCTGGGAGATACATTTTTATGAGATCATGTGCAGTCAGTTCCTGAAGAGAAAATTATACAGTACATATTCTAAATATTCTATATTCTAATAACACTTATCTAAATATTTGAACTTATATTTTTATGCAACTATTAAAAACCTTATTTTCTTTCCTTCCTTCTTACATCGTTTTTATTTATTTTTTATTTATTTATTTATTTTTTTGAGACAGAGTATCCCCATAGCCCCAACTGGCCTGGATCTCATTGTGTAGATTGGGCTGGCCTCAATCTTACAGATGAACATGCCTCCGCCTCCTGAGTGCTGGGGATTAAAGGCATGTACCACCAAGTTGGGCCGCAAAATAACTTTTAAACATAAATAGCCATGGATTTTTAAATAAATATTTAACATGAGCCAAAAGTGGTCAGGCTTTAATTAAATAAAAATGATTTTTGAAAAACTGGGCAAAATTTCTATTTGTTTGTGGATATAATTTGGTTATCAATGAATTTCTCTTCCTTTCTTAGTTCCTATCCTCCACTTTCATACACTGTCCCTATATCATCTCCCCCTTTAGGGATGGTCCCAGTGGGTCAGGGATGGGCTGAGGAGGAAGCCTTTGCCCTGTGTGTTCCTGACCCTCTGCATCCCTCCTTCCTGCCATAATCCACAGAAAGCTTTCCTTCCTTTTCTCCATCTTTATGGGAAATACCCTATACCTGTTTCTCCCCCATTCAAAAGTCTCCCCACTCAGACTTAATGGCAGGAAGAGCATCTTCTTTCCATCATGGAAGAAACTCAGTGATCTGAGTGAGGCTACCTTGGCTCTTGATAGCGTGGCTGCAAGATCAATTATAGTTCAGCACAAAAATACTTTATAGTTCTCTAAGTAGTATGAAGTAGTATGCCCATTGCTGAATTTATACATTCCCTTGTTTTATTGGCATAAACATGATTAACTCTTAAATTATGCATCCTAACTGCCTCAGTCTTTAAAATTTCTCTTTTTATGAAAAGAGATATCAATAATAATAAAAAATCAATTTTTATTCTAATACAGGAACTTTTTGTTCTATAAGTAGATCTTCTTTTGCTGTTTTGCAACTGAAAAATATCAACCCGTTCTTGGTAAAAGTAAATAAGAAAATAATTAATAAAGATGTGTCCTGTTGATGAACATGGCAGACACATTTCTCTCAAGGAACTTACTATGTAGAAAATCTATATTCTTAAGTAATTCTACTCTATTAAAGTCCATAACACTGGGTCATATTTTAAGAAATTTCCCTGACGAAAAGTGTCACTCAGGATAGAATTAACTTTTAACATATTCCACATTCTTGTTTTCAATCCCCAGACCCTCCAAAAAATTTAACTTTTCATCTTTAAGACAATCTCTATCAGTTCTAGAAAGATAACTGTGTTGTTCAGAGCACTTTCTGTTCTTGCAGAAGACCAAAGTTCAGTTCCTAGTGCCTACATGGCAGCTCATAGGCATCTGTAACTCCAGTTTCAGGGGATCTAATGCCCCATCCTGGCCTCTGGAGGCACTGCATGCATATAGTCATATAGTACACATACACACACTCACAGGCAAACACACACATATAATAAATTCTAAAAATTAACATCTCTATCAATATGGTAAAATATCAGCAGATGCTTTTTCTTTGGAGATATGGTAAGTCTGGGAGCCTATGAAAAAAGCTATAACTTTAACTGAGATCATTTTTCAAGATTTTTTAAAATTAAAACTTCTGTTCTCTGTTGTGTCTCACCAAAAACTTCTCATAAGCATTCACAGTGGGAATGACTAAAGACTGTAAAGTCTGAATTCTCTTCTCAATGTTTTTATTCAAGATTTAAACCCCACTTGGAATACCAGTTTTTAAAATTTACGTATTTTGTACTAGTTTGTTTCTTTGGCTTTTTTGTTTGTTTGTTTGTTTGTTTGTTTTTAGAGACAGGTTCTTCCTGTAGCCCAGCTGGCTTGGAACTCACTATGTAGATCAGGCTGGCCTAGATTTGATGCCTCTGCCTCCCAAATTCTGGGATTAAAGGCTTGTGCCACCATGGCCAATTAAATACCATGTACTTTATAAAATATTTCTATATATGACTATATGTGGGTGCATATGAGAATGTACATGCATGTGCCCATGTGTATTTGTGTATGTATATACATATTTGTGTATGTGTTTATATGTGTTTGTGTGTGCATGTGTGCATGTGTTTATTGTGTATGTCTGTGTGCACATGTCTGAACACATTTGCACTTTGTAAAATTCCCCAATGTTCGTTCTTCCATTATTTATCCCTGTTATATCTAGTACATATTTATCTTATCATAAATTTATAAGTATGTATTTTCTTTTAGAATTATATCAATAGAAAACTATCATCATCATCATTCATTTTTACTAATTAATGCACTTTGAAATTTAAATGTCTTAGTTATCTTTTACTATCAAACTATTCTAAGTTTAATAAATTAGCTTGATTGACTCAACAAAATCTGTAATGGGGGGAGTTGGAAAGAAGTGAATATCAAAATACACTGTAAAAAATTCTCAAAGAACTAATATAATATTTTTAAAAGTATATCTAGTTTTAAAACTACAACAGAAATAAAATACTTTTAATTGATCTAATTATTTTGATTTAAGGACTTTGTGTGGATTTGTGTATGTTGCTTCCAAGACTGTGACATTATATCTTACACTTTATGCTGTACTAAACCAAAGATGCTACATTAATGTCTATTTGAGAGCCATGAATATATATATATATATTCCTACTGCCTGCCATGACAGAAACACTTCCTTCTGTTAGTTAAGAACAGAATATAGACATTTGTCTACTATTGTACTTAATACTGAGTGGACAGTGGCCACAGGTGATAGTGATGGTATTTAGCACTAAAAATATATAGTTTTTCTATTGAGTGTAATTGTAAGTGATGCAACTTTTAAAAAATTGAGTATTCTCCAGGCATGGTGGAGCATGCCTTTAATCCCAGCACTTGGGAGGCAGAGGCAGGTGCATCTCTGTGAGTTCATGGTCAACCTGGTCTACATAATGAGTTTCAGGCCAGCTGGGGCCACAGGGAGACCCTGTCTTAAAAAAAGACCAAAAAATTGAATATTCTTATTAATTCCTTGAGGATTTCATTCAATGTACTTTGGTCATATTCACCCACAACTTCTCTCCTTAACAACTCCCCTGCACCTACTTAACCCCCAACTTCATGTCCACTTTAAAAAAATAACCCACAAAGAAAATAACACATTTCTTTGATAGGAATTACATAGCTTCTTGTCAATTAGATTTATGAGGTTTATATCTGTTCAACTTAATTGGTGTAATACAAATTGGCTTCTAAAATTAGTTGTGACAAGGATTACCCTCCATATTGTTCTTTTCTCTTACTTTATTAAAATGGTCTATATTTGTTTACTAGTGTTTTAATTACATAAATCCCTCAAGGGGTTGGAGAGATGGCTCAGTGATTAAGAACACTGACTTCTCTTGCAGAGGACCCAGGTTCGATTCCCAGCATCTACTTGGCAGTTAACAACTGTCCATGACTTCTGATCCAGGGGATCAGATACCCTCTCTGGCCTCCATGGACACTGTACATACACCCTTGTATACATGTAGGCAAAACACACATACACATTAGATGAATAAATTAATTAAAAATTAAAAATATCCCCAATCTATCTTTAATATGAAATACAATCCATGTTGAATCATAGTGTGACCATCTTCCTGACCAATTTAAAACCCTACATCACCATGTTCTGGAGTTAAAGGACCTCTAATATTTGAGCATGGTCTAAAGAATGCAGCCATTGGGTGTAAAGCTAAGAAATGTGTGCTGCATTGATCTGATAAAAGAGGTCTTCACATCATTAAGAAGCATGTAAGCAGACATTATTCTGCATCAGTTTTTGGCTTTGCATTTCTTTAGAGACATATATTCTCATCATTTAATGAAAAATTCAATAAAATATGAAAATCTATTCCCAAGTGGTCCATCAGTCCATCCCTAGTGCTGTCAGGCCCATGTTTTAGTTGGTGACTGAGCTATCCTCCGAATCCTCAGTTAGTCACAAGTCACAATCATTGACAGTGGATCCAAGACAGGTCTAAGTATCCCATGCTGTATAGGATAGAGAAAGAGAATTTAGAAGAAGAGAGAGGGGTAAGCATAGCATACTAGATTGATAGGAGATACACACAGGCTGGCATAACAGTGTCCAGGGAGCTTGAAGGAGATCCAGCAAACTCTAGTGCAGCCGCTCTGAATTTTTTGATTTCAGGCTGTCAAATTTAATACCTTGTTCACCCTTGGGCAAGTGGAAAATGCTGCAATTGTAAAACGTTAAAAAAAAAAAAAAAAAACATGTTTCACCTCTACCATAAGTTGTAAAGAAATAGCATTTGTTAATTTTTTGTAATGAAAGCAATGAAACTTTTTTGGAGAATAGTTGAAAAATATATAAACATTAAAGAAGAAAATAAAACTCTTAAATAAAATAAAATAAAACACTAGGACAAAATAAAATTACAAGACTATTCCATGTAGTCAGAAAACTTTTGAATTTCTTCATGTAAATTGTTTGTATTTTTTCTATGCATCTTTTGAATTGAATGATTTGATGGGAACTATATGTACAGAATAGGGCACAAACATAGCTGGGCAGCTTGATTAATTCACACAGTGAGAAAACCTATGTAATCACAACCCACTGAGAAAACAGAAGTTAATATTGGTTCTGGTAACTCACTTTAATTCCAAACCTTGGGAGGCAGAGGCAGGTGGATCTCTGTGAGATAAGGGCAAGCTTAGTCTACATAGTGAGTTCTAGGCCAGCAGGGGCTACTGAAAGACTCTGTCCCAAAAATAAAATCATAAATCATACCAAATCAAACCAAACCAAACCAAAATTAAACAGAAATGAGGTAGTGCTCCAGAGTTCTGGCTTTATCATGATCCCCAAGTTAACTCCACCTCCTCTCTGAACATCCTGACTCCTCTTGGTGTATAGAGAACTTGCCTATGTTGAAATGCACATAAATAGAATTTTAGAGCACATAAATGATTGTGTCTGATCTGTGTCACTTAAGCACATGTACACACCATGTGATTGCTCGTGTCAATCATTCATGAATTCTTATACTCCACATTACTCAATTGCATACAAAAAAAAAAAAAAACACTCCACAAACATCTATCAACAAACACTGGGTAGTTTCCAGATTTGGACTACAGAAAACTGTGGTGAGCATCTTTATATCTTTAAATCAAAGCTGTATTGAATGTTAAATTACACAATATAGCTCTGAATCATCAAATGAGGAGCCACTGAGTGCACACAAATAAAGAGAACACCATCAGCCTTCCCTGTGACAGCTCCTTCACAACCCCACTAATTTCCACAGAAATCATAGGCATTTACCAGACCTCTATCTGCCTAGCTAGGATATCTATATCAGGCTCCCTCCACCCTTGACAGGCATACAGCCTGGATTATTCACCCACCCGCAGTTCAGTGTCAGGTGTCAAGTTTCTTTACAAATTACTTACAAGTTAGTAGAAACTGTATACTACTTTTTGTATAAACGCTTTCTGTGATGCTGAAGTTTAAATGTGTCTATATTTCGTAAACAGAATGTGTACCAAACACTCCTGAGGGTTTTATTCTGTCCTTTCCTCATATTTCTTTGATTTGTAATTAACTTTTTATTCCATAGCGTACTGTTATCTTTACAGTGTGAGTTAGGGTTCTCTCCTTCTGTTTGTTCTCTGCCACTTGTGACCTGCCCCACACTATGACAGAAGCAGGAAGGGCCAAGGCTGCATGGAGGTTCCATCTCAGGTCACACATGGAGATATACCTGCTGATCCTGAGTCATCAACCTGAGTAACAGTTTCTGGATGAAGCAAGCCAAGAATTTCCTTGTAATCAGGCAGCGCATGCCAAGGAGAGGCTAACCTGCTCAGTAGTGCCATTGTCTGTGTGCTTATAAAGCAGCAGTTTCATGACTACCAAGAACCTCCCAAGACTCACATTCTTGGTTTAGATGTAAGCCTTGAAAATTTAACTTAACATATTCTGACAATATTAGCTTACCTGAAAGCACACATTCATATGCCATGTTGTTTGTGTGTGTGTGTGTGTGTGTGTGTGTGTGTGTGTGTGTGTGGTGTGTGAGTGTGTATATGTAATGTTTAGACAGTGAATATGTAAATGACAAAAACTACATGGATGGTATATTTCAGGGATAAAGAGGTGCATGTGTGTATAAACAAACGCTTACTACCCATAAAATGTGAACAAGATAAAGCTACCATCTTCTGAAAAGTAAGCCTCCAGAAAAAACCTGACATTTTCATGAGGCTCTATGCCCTTTAATATCATCATCTGCTCCCTCCATTCCCTTTCCTGAGGTGTTCCAAGCTTGTAGGCTGCTGCTGATTTTTTCACATTTTGTTTTTAGGTTTGAGAAGCTGAAGACAAGGTGTAGGAATGAGATGCCTTCCAAGTAGAGGAAAGTCAGCTGCATGCTCAACTGGATTTAAAATGAAAGTAGCGCCTCAAACATTTAATTTTCTACTTTTTCTTTAAGACCTCGACTGCCACAGTGAATGTGGTGGTGACAGATGTCAATGACAATGCTCCCGTGTTCGATCCCTATCTTCCAAGGAACCTGTCTGTGGTGGAGGAAGAGGCCAACGCCTTTGTGGGTCAAGTGAGGGTAAGTGGAACAATCCCAGTTTCTTAGATGTGGTTTTTTGGTACCTCGTTTTTCACACTGTAATTGTGAAAAGACCCAACTAAGCAACACACTCAATGACACGGATAGACATTCTTCCGATTGTTTTGTGGAACCCTAATCCTGCACATTTATTACATTTTGTGATATTTCATAATTTAAACACTGGTTAATGTGATATTATCCCTTTATTATCTAGTCCATGTTATTTTATGAAAAATGAAATATATTTATAGAACCATGTATTTAGTTATGGCTGCAGAAATTCCCACCTCATGATACAGAAACCTAGATGTGAATGTGGTTGACATTACGAACTTGTCTTCAGTCTCTTCTCTTTGTTATGTGCATTGAATATGTACTCTAGGGTTAATTTCTAGGCAGTTCTCCTTCTCCCAGTTCCTGCCTGGACACCATGGCCATTTTCTGCAGTGTTTCTCTGCAGTGCTAGGGAGGGGCCCATGGCTTTGTGCACACAGTAGAGTACCCTACCACTGTGCTACATGCTCAGCTCTGCAGTTGGTAGAGTCAGACTCCATCTGGGCTTAGTCTCAACAGAGCTCATGGTCTGGAAGCCATAGGAAAAGAGACATTTGGAGGTATGCAGCACATGTTAAAGTTCCTGCTGCTGATGCAGCTGGGTGTTCCCCAGGAGTATTGCTAAGATTTGCACTACTGTTGTGAGATACAGAGGTGACACACTGTAAACAAAGAACACTGACTGACATAGCTCACCAATTTCACTTGAGACGGAGCAGCCTGTAGATGTCTGTTGAGGCCATATCATGATACCATCACACAGCCAAGCACCTGCTCATGTGTCAAGCCAGGAGCAGAAAAATAATCGTGAGACCCAGGTCCAATAATCCCTTCTGAGAACACACTTGAAATGACCCAAGAACTTCCCACAGGGCTTCACCTCTTCAATGTTCATCGCCTCCCATTGAGCTGATCGTGGGGACAGTTCTTCGGCATATGGCCTTTTGGGGGACAATCATCCAAACTGCCACACCAGACAAGGAAAGTTTCCTACTGTGGGGACAAAGAGTGAGGCACTCGGGCCCCAAACCCAGTATCAGGCCCTGTTCCTTCCCTTTTCACGTCCTCACTTTGTATAGAGGCCGGGCTGGTGTTCTGCACAAGCCTTTTCTAGAATTATGCCACTTTTATAGTGAAGCATAAGGTCTAGTTTTTTTTTTTTTTGATTGAATTTTTGTGTATTTCAAACAAAACACCTTAATTGTCTTTATACCCTCCTACATCCACATCCTCCCATAGCTCCACCTACTGGATTTCATGCATTCTGTGATTTCTATTAAGGCCTGTCAAGGCGTCCTGCCCAGGGACCCACGCTCTGCAGACTTATTTTCTTTTATTATTTATTTATTTATTTATTTACTTATTTTAAATATTTATTATTTTTATCTTACATGTATGCATGTAATTGCCTGCATTAGGTAAGTGCACCCATGCCGTGCAATGCCTGTGGAGGACAGAAGAGGCTGTCAGATCCCCTGGAACTGGAGTTATGGACAGTTGTTAGCTGCCATGTGGGTTCTGGGATTTGAACCCGGGCCTTCTGCAAGAACAACCAGTGATCTTAACAGCTGAACCATCTGTCCAGTTCCACAGACTTGTTTTTTATGTTTTGGCCATTTATGGCCTATTTTGTTCATTACCCTCTGTTGCAAGAGGGAGCTTTGGGGGTCTGGTTTTTAATAGAATGTTCTCGGACTGCATAAGATTTACTTTAAGTATTGTAGAGATACTGAGACTTTCACATCAGGTCCTGAGATTTTTTTTTTTCATTTTCATGTGTATGTGTGCTTGTGTGTAGTGCACATGTATGTATGTACATGTGTATGCCTGTTTACACATGTGTTGCTACACATGTGGGGGCAGGTGTGTGTGTGTGTGTGTGTGTGCGTGCGCGAGTGGAGGCCTGGGGCTAGAGGTTGGTACCTGAAAGCCTCCTCAGTTGCTCTCCCACCTTATCCAATGAAGCAGGCTCTCGCAGCTACAACCAGGGCTTATTGCTCTGTCTAGTCTCCATAGCCACCTTACTCTGAGAACTCCCTGTCTCATACTGCCATGGATGCAGTTACAAGTGGGTCACCATGCCCAGTCAGTCTTTACATGTATTCTTCAGATCTGAACTCCGGTCATCACATTTCCCCCACAAGCACTAAACTATTGTTCTTGCTCCCCAGCCCAGATCCTGAGTTTGACTGGCTGGTTTGAACCTGTCTTTTGTCCTTCACATCTCTCACAAGACTCTGTCACCCCTAGTTATTCTCAGTGCCTGTCACCATCTCCAACCCATGGAAGAGTGTACCTTAAATTTTCATGCCCTCTCAGCTCACCAGAGTGAGAATTCAGGCTACCATGATGTCAGAGATGCTAAGCATTCTAACTAGCTAGCAAGTGAATCAGCTCTGGAGTCCATGTGAATGTTCCACTGTCTCACAACCATCTCTCTAGCCAAGTCCATGTGTGTATCGTATGAAGAAAGCAGAGGTGACAGAAGATTCAGAAGGAAATAGATTCCCAGAGGTCAGGGGATGTGGCTGAGTGAGTAAGGGTGTTTGCAGAGCAAGTGTGTGACCCTGGGTTTGAATTACCATCACCCCAAACAGCCAGCTGTGGTTGCATGCACCTGTATACCTATACTCTAATTCTGTGAGGAACAGAGACTAAAGGGTCACAGGATTTTCTGGCTGCCAGCCTCGCTCTGGGTTTAGGGAAAGACCCTGTCTCAAGGGGATAAGGCAGAGAGTTCTGGCACTGGACTTCTTCCACTGGCCTCTGCAGTGCATATGTGAATGCATATACCCACACACATGCATGCACCACAAATTTATATACCACATATGCACACCACACGTATACTTCTACACACACACTGTTTCTTAGAACATCAGATAGCACTAACAGGAAGCTCAGAGCACTATTTAGAGGGAAAAAGCATCCAGTGAAAGGGTTGGTGTTAGACCAGAGGCCACTAGGAGACTTGGAAATTAATCTCAGGGAAGACTCTAAGAAAAGCTACAAGCTCCTGCACCCCTGAAAAATACAGGAAAATTAATATGCTGGATCCCAAGTCATGGTGGCAAGTACTGGGGCAGAGTGACAAATTCTGGTCTTCTTCCTCTATCACAAGCAGGTAAGCACATTTTCATAGTCATGGATTGAGATGGTGGGCACTAGTGGGCAAATGTTGACAGACCATCACAAATGCTGAGCAGAGGACTTGATAGTTTCCTCTGGCCATCATGTATGATGACAAAGTCTATAATAGAGGCCAGTACAGAAAACATCATGTTGATGTTGAAGACAGCTCATAGGCAGTGGATGTTGGCAAGAAGGATAGTGGGAGGGCAGGAGTCAGCACCAGAATAGTCACTGCATCATTAAAAACAGAGGAAATGGGAACATGGCATCCCATAGACGGAACAAATAAACACGATGCAGCTTAAAGTCTTTTTATGCCATGTTTGTTGTAATAGATTCTGGTAACCCTTTCAAGATGTGGCAACATCAGATGTGTAGGTGACAAAGATTACTCCCATCACAGGAGACTCTAAACACACCATGGAGAAGTAGGCAATGGTAAGAATACAGTCATGAGACTTGAACTAATCACAATGATAAGTGGGTTTCATTACCATCCTCAGTCTGAAATACCATATTGTTTAAAAAGATACTTTCAAACATCTGTCATTATTCAGATAAAACAGATTATCTATGGAAATAATCATCTACACTTCTTAATTTATTGGAAATTAATCAGATAAAGTCCATATGGAATATACAAGTAAAAACATAAGTAAACATAAAAGGATTTAATAACTGTAGTTAATTTTAACTCTTTTTCCTAATTTTACCATTTCAGTAATTCTTTCTTCATGAAAAATCATTGCATTAACCACTTTTTTCCTGTTTCCTTCTGGAGTTTGATGAGAAATGATCTATAAAATTTATTCCAGTTTTAAAAACTGAAATATGATTTATTTGAAATATGCATAATTTGATGTAATAGAGCTGGGTGTTCATTGGGCCATAACTTGTTTGTATAAAACTGGAACAATTTTGAACTTGCAAAGAAGAGAAAAACATCCCAAGCAGGCTGTATCCAGTGGACTCTGCAGTTACAGAAAAGTTGTAATGCTCTTCGAATGGAATTTTGATGCTTCATAATGGTCTCCTGTTGCTAATGATAATTATATATAACATATTAATTCCACTTAATGACTCATGTTCCTTGTGAAAAATTTAATTTTAATTGTCACCACAAACTACTAAGACCCTCTCAAAGCCAAGATACATATGGTTAATTACTGTACTAAGCTTGAGTTATTGGCTTATGTTTATGTTATTATGGTATTTTAATATGAGCAATCCTATATTTTGGATTCAAATGCTGAAGTAACATTTTATTTACTTTAAAATATGTAATATGGATAAGTTAATGGATATTTATCAATGTTCAAAATTATGCAGATCAAAAATGTTTCAGTAAAACTTTGTTAACATATTAGTAGAAAATAAACTACCAACAAGCTATTATTTAATGAGGTCTTACTGCTCCAACTACGTGCAGTAGTAAAGTCATTTGGGAGAAAGGTGTGTATGCAATAAAACCTAGTAGCAGATTTGGAACAGGTTTGTGTCAAATGGGAGTGTGAATTATTTAGAAAAGAGAATGAAAGACATTGCAGTGGTCTGAGTTGATCAAGGCGGTTTCCAGAGGAAAAAGGATCATCCTTAGTTCCTTTTATTCCATTTAGTAGCATTTAGGTTGGAAGAACTGAGAAGCATAACTAAGTGTGACGCAGTAAGAGGTAAAGTATGATGTAATGTAGACGAGGTGGTTTGAGGTTACTGAAGCTAGAGTCTCACAAGTCATAGGTATGCTTGAACTGGTCCTGGATACCCTTTTGAGTAGCGAGACGAGTTGAGGTCATAGTATGGGCTATAATCAT